ACATCCTGCTCGGAGATTTCTCGCACACGTTCTTCGATGGGGTATCAACGGCGATTGCTTTCAAGTACTGCGGCTCTGGTTTGCCAGCTGCAGCCCTCACGTTGAGCACGCGGTAATGGATGTCGTCAGGACTAGGATGGGTTGTAGTTGGAGCAGCCGTCGCTCACGAGCTTCCGCAAGAGCTGGGCGACTTTGTAGTGCTGTACAACTCTGGCATGTCCGTCTTCCTTTGAAGTCACCTTGAGGGAGCAGTCTCACGTCATGCGCAGGTCCATCAAATGGGCTCTGATCAGCAACTTTCTCTCTTCGCTCTCGGCCTGTCTGGGGGTACCCTGCTGTGGTGCTGAGGCTTCTCGGGGGTCTGACGGCAGCACCAGAGCATCGTCATCCTTGCCGCCACGGAGAGTGCTCATGAGAATATCAACCAAGACATGGGTATATGTCTCGCGTTCGCAGCAGGGATCCTCCTCTACATCGCATCAGGTACAGCAACCTTGTTGTACGTCTTGTGCTTTGACATCTCTGACAATCTCCTTGCGACATTGAAGGCCTTGTACTGGACATAGTCAAAGTGGACGATGTGCGATCAGCTATGACATGCTGGCTGGTATGTGCTCGCATGAGCAAGACGACTAGTGTGCAACACGGACTGACACGCTGGGTGGGCCAGATGTTTATCGTCGGGGCGGTTGCGCTTGGGCTGACAGCCCTCAATCATATCCACTGCGAATGCTTCGGAGATCATTCGGGTCATGAGCATCACGGTCACGCTCACTGATGGAGGAGGGTGGCGGACGCGGAGCCTCATGACCATCTGCTTGGCTGTGCTCCCACAAGCCTCTTGCAACGGCCGAAGACGCTGATCAATCACGACCGTCTGTCTCCCTATGGAAGATCTGCAAGTGCAAGCTGGCATCCCCGGCTGTGAAGCAATAGTGAGTGCGTGTGTTTATGTGTGTGCGTGTGTGTAGAGTAAGCCTCCTAGTCTTTTTTCTTGTAATGCAAGAATCAGGAGCCATGACTTCCATCCTTACGTTGAGAGCCTCTTGGTACAGATGTTTTAGTTATCAAAGGGACTCTAGCACATTCGAAGGTGGCAGAGGGGGTTATATGTTTTAGAGGGAGAGGGCTCACGCGAAATTACTATTGTAACCTTCTACATGATTGTACTTACAATACGTTGGAACCAACTCGGTATGTATCTGGTCTCGGATCAATTTAAGGACTGCGCCCTACAAGACTGAGCCTGCCTCAGAACAAGCAGTACGCCGCAAAAAAAGAGAGATACTCGAGATATGCTGACATCTGACGGCTACAACCCCACCCCCACCCACTACCTGGGGGCAAAGGTTTTTAAGGGAGGTGGTGGGGTGGACTTTCGTTTCGAAACAGGGGTGGTGCAGAGGGGCCGTAAACTGCTCGTGAATCTCTACTCGCGTCCAGATCCAAGTGAGGGGAAGTGGCGAGGAGGGAGGAAGCGAGGATGGGAGATAGACGCAGAAAAGAAATAGCGGACAAACAAGAAGGAATCTGAGCACTAATGAGGAGTCACGTGTTGCGTGTCTCGAGTGAGAGTTGATACAAGTAAAACTGCTTGCAGGTGACAGGCATTGAGAATGAAGCTACTTTCTCGCACGATTGCGAAACTCTTCCTTTTAGGATTTTTGGTCTTGCTGCCATCAGTCCAAGCTCATGACCATGATGATCATGATCATGACCATGATGATCATGATCATGATGACCATGATCATGACGAGCTGTGGCACGGACACGTTGAGTTAGGTAAACAAACCTACACATTGAATCTGCAACGACCAGCAGCAGGAGAGGTATGCTGCTTCTAGACTCTTCATGTCCTCATGCCCCTGTTTGACATATCTCTTCGTAGGACTACGTCGACACTTCTCTCAAGATTGCCATCGTCAATCCTGCGGACGTGAAAAAAGCGAACGTGACATCAGATGCACTGAAGTCAGCGATCCACGCCAAGTTTGATACTGAATTGAAGAGGTATGAGCAAGGATCTGTGGTTGGCATGGGGTCCACAGACACATCATCTACGTTGCTGACCTCGATCCCTGTTGACTTGTTCGTGTTGGTTCCTGACCGGGATGCTTCCAACACTGTGATCAAGTTGTCCGTACCGAAGGCAACTACGTACGGGATTTTCGCAAACCATCCCTTGTCCGAGTGGGAGGGGGCTTTGAAGTTCATGATGGATAGCCGTTCAAATGAGGTCCTCCTTGAAGGGTCGACGACCTGTCAATCGTCCTTGTCTTCCTCTGCCGTGTGGGGACTGTCGATCTTGGGAGCGTTTATCGGAGCAGCCATGTCGCTTTCCGGTGTGCTGATTATCGTCCCTGTGCTCAAGATGGAGGAGCTGTGGATTCTCAAGTACCTCAACTGCCTGGCTGCTGGCGTGCTGCTCAGCTTTGTTCTCATCCATCTCATCCCCGAAGCTGGCCATCTGCATGGTGACGTGCACGAGGAGGCTGATGAAAACCTTGACTCGCCGTACTGCAGGCAGTTTAAGCTGGGAGGTCAGCACAACCGTGTTGGCTGGATTCTTTGCTGGTAAGCTTCACTTTGAGGTGCCGACCTTGCAATGATTGATTATCAAGGGCTTCTGGTCGAGCATGGTATACACCTCTACTTCACTACCTACGGGAAGGAGCCGGTGACCGCCGCTTGTTATTTGATCATCCACGGTCGTCCTGATCGAGTCCCCAGGCAAGGATTGAAGGTGGGACCGGGACATCGCCTAGGAAAGGAGAGCTGGTCTTTGTCGATCAAGAAGCTCAAGATCACATGGCGCTGAGCAGTCAGAAAGCGCTGGACGGTGACGCTGTGCAAGACAAGCCAGTCGCATGGGGAAGGATCGGAAACATCCTGCTCGGAGATTTCTTCCACAACTTCTTCGATGGGGTATCAACGGCGATTGCTTTCAAGTACTGCGGCTCTGGTTTGCCAGCTGCAGCCCTCACGTTGAGCACGCGGTAATGGATGTCGTCAGGACTAGGATGGGTTGTCGTTGGAGCGGCCGTCGCTCACGAGCTTCCGCAAGAGCTGGGCGACTTTGTAGTGCTGTACAACTCTGGCATGTCCGTCTTCCTTTGAAGTCACCTTGAGGGAGCAGTCTCACGTCATGCGCAGGTCCATCAAATGGGCTCTGATCAGCAACTTTCTCTCTTCGCTCTCGGCCTGTCTGGGGGTACCCTGCTGTGGTGCTGAGGCTTCTCGGGGGTCTGACGGCAGCACCAGAGCATCGTCATCCTTGCCGCCACGGAGAGTGCTCATGAGAATATCAACCAAGACATGGGTATATGTCTCGCGTTCGCAGCAGGGATCCTCCTCTACATCGCATCAGGTACAGCAACCTTGTTGTACGTCTTGTGCTTTGACATCTCTGACAATCTCCTTGCGACATTGAAGGCCTTGTACTGGACATGGTCAAAGTGGACGATGTGCGATCAGCTATGACATGCTGGCTGGTATGTGCTCGCATGAGCAAGACGACTAGTGTGCAACACGGACTGACACGCTGGGTGGGCCAGATGTTTATCGTCGGGGCGGTTGCGCTTGGGCTGACAGCCCTCAATCATATCCACTGCGAATGCTTCGGAGATCATTCGGGTCATGAGCATCACGGTCACGCTCACTGATGGAGGAGGGTGGCGGACGCGGAGCCTCATGACCATCTGCTTGGCTGTGCTCCCACAAGCCTCTTGCAACGGCCGAAGACGCTGATCAATCACGACCGTCTGTCTCCCTATGGAAGATCTGCAAGTGCAAGCTGGCATCCCCGGCTGTGAAGCAATAGTGAGTGCGTGTGTTTATGTGTGCGCGTGTGTGTAGAGTAAGCCTCCTAGTCTTTATTCTTGTAATATAAGAATCAGGAGCCATGACTACCATCCAGCATCTTACATTGTAGCAACTCACGACTTGAAGCATTACTTGTAACTCTCTGGCCCACAAACCACCTCTGTCAGTTCATTTTGCATACAAACAGGCCTTAACGGTTACTCAGGCTACCTGTGGAGGGCCTCTTTATTAGTAAGAACTCTTCAATCGCAAGAAATAGGGTACTTATTCTGAACTAGTTGCATGTTCCTAGCTCAGTCCTTCGTGTTCCTGTTCCGAGGTTTTTCGTCTTGGCAAACTGAAGGACAGCAGCAGTCTTCAGGATACTCTAAAAGATTCGGCGCAAGAGAATGGACAAGTGGAAGAGGAAAACCTCACGGCCAAGAGGAGGAGGAGGATCTTGTTCATACGCTGAGGCCTTGTATTGATATCATTCAATGCAAGCTTAGCTCCTCTGTCCTCTCAAGCGTCTCATCATCAAATCATGCTCCTCCTTCCCTCCACCCCTTCCGCCTCCCTTCTTGTTACTCTCTACTGGCTTCATACCCCTTCCTCCTCCAGTCCCATCCCCATGTACCACTCGATCCACCCTGCCTCAAGCCCCTCCCACAACCCTTCCCCCTCCGTGTCCCCCTGCCCCACCCACCCCCCTTCTCGTGCCCCTCCCTCCAACCCCTCCGCCTCCTCGAGCCCTACCTCCCACTCTCCTTCATACTCCTCCTCCCTCTCATCGCCCGCCTGCACAGCCCTCTCCCCTCCCCCTGACGCTGTTGGGACGGGAGGACCCGGCAGCGATGGCGCGCTGGCGGCGCTGACAGCGACGGGCTCGGTCTCCCTCCTCCTCCTCGCGTACGGCCATCGCCCTAGCCCCAGTGACCGGCAAGCGTTCTTGAGGGCCGACAGCGAGATCCCCTGCGCTCGCCCGTCACATGGAGGGGGAAGGGGGGGGGGGGGGGGGTGTGCAGGGGGGGGGTGAGAGGTA